GAGACCAGAGAGAGACCAGAGAGAGAGACCAGAGAGAGACCAGAGAGAGAGACCAGAGAGAGACCAGAGAGAGACCAGAGAGAGAGACCAGAGAGAGACCAGAGAGAGACCAGAGAGAGACCAGAGAGAGACCAGAGAGAGAGACCAGAGAGAGACCAGAGAGAGAGACCAGAGAGAGACCAGAGAGAGACCAGAGAGAGAGACCAGAGAGAGACCAGAGAGAGACCAGAGAGAGACCAGAGAGAGACCAGAGAGAGACCAGAGAGAGAGACCAGAGAGAGACCAGAGAGAGACCAGAGAGAGAGACCAGAGAGAGACCAGAGAGAGACCAGAGAGAGACCAGAGAGAGACCAGAGAGAGACCAGAGAGAGACCAGAGAGAGACCAGAGAGAGAGACCAGAGAGAGAGACCAGAGAGAGACCAGAGAGAGACCAGAGAGAGAGACCAGAGAGAGACCAGAGAGAGAGACCAGAGAGAGACCAGAGAGAGACCAGAGAGAGAGACCAGAGAGAGAGACCAGAGAGAGAGACCAGAGAGAGACCAGAGAGAGACCAGAGAGAGACCAGAGAGAGAGACCAGAGAGAGACCAGAGAGAGACCAGAGAGAGACCAGAGAGAGACCAGAGAGAGACCAGAGAGAGACCAGAGAGAGACCAGAGAGAGACCAGAGAGAGACCAGAGAGAGAGACCAGAGAGAGACCAGAGAGAGACCAGAGAGAGAGACCAGAGAGAGAGACCAGAGAGAGACCAGAGAGAGACCAGAGAGAGACCAGAGAGAGACCAGAGAGAGAGACCAGAGAGAGAGAGACCAGAGAGAGAGACCAGAGAGAGAGACCAGAGAGAGATCAGAGAGAGACCAGAGAGAGACCAGAGAGAGAGACCAGAGAGAGACCAGAGAGAGAGACCAGAGAGAGAGACCAGAGAGAGAGAGACCAGAGAGAGAGACCAGAGAGAGAGAGACCAGAGAGAGAGACCAGAGAGAGACCAGAGAGAGACCAGAGAGAGAGCCTGAGAGAGACCAGAGAGAGACCAGAGAGAGAGACCAGAGAGAGACCAGAGAGAGACCAGAGAGAGAGACCAGAGAGAGAGACCAGAGAGAGACCAGAGAGAAAGACCAGAGAGAGACCAGAGAGAGACCAGAGAGAGACCAGAGAGAGACCAGAGAGAGAGACCAGAGAGAGAGAGACCAGAGAGAGAGACCAGAGAGAGAGACCAGAGAGAGAGACCAGAGAGAGACCAGAGAGAGACCAGAGAGAGACCAGAGAGAGACCAGAGAGAGACCAGAGAGAGAGACCAGAGAGAGAGACCAGAGAGAGAGAGACCAGAGAGAGAGAGACCAGAGAGAGAGACCAGAGAGAGACCAGAGAGAGACCAGAGAGAGACCTGAGAGAGACCAGAGAGAGACCAGAGAGAGACCAGAGAGATACCAGAGAGAGAGACCAGAGAGAGAGACCAGAGAGAGAGACCAGAGAGAGACCAGAGAGAGCCCTCTGCACCGGGAGCAGTGGTCGGTGTGGCTGCGGGGGTCGGACTCTTGGGCCTGGTGGGGGCCTGGGGCCTCGGTTTCATGTCTCCTCTGGGTCCTGTGTCGTCCCCTGTGGCTACGGGCGGCTCTCTGCTCCTGGTGCAGACGGCTCCTTGGATGACGCTTTTTCAGCTGGTTGCATCTGAACCCTGCCAAGTCTCTCATCATGTTTTTATTGTTTTACTGGTGTGTGTGTGTGTGTGTGTGTGTATGAGTGTTCATGAGCGCGTGTGTGTGTTTGTCTGTGGTTTGGGGTGGGTCTGTTGGGTGGTCTGGGGGAGGGGTCTTGGGTCGGCGGGATTGTTTTTAACCAATCTGTAAAGCACTTTGTGTTGCATCTTATGTATGAAAAGCGCTTTATAAATAAAATTTGATTGATTGATTGACCAGAGAGAGAGACCAGAGAGAGACCAGAGAGAGACCAGAGAGAGAGACCAGAGAGAGACCAGAGAGAGACCAGAGAGAGAGACCAGAGAGAGACCAGAGAGAGACCAGAGAGAGACCAGAGAGAGACCAGAGAGAGAGACCAGAGAGAGACCAGAGAGAGACCAGAGAGAGACCAGAGAGAGACCAGAGAGAGACCAGAGAGAGACCAGAGAGAGAGACCAGAGAGAGACCAGAGAGAGACCAGAGAGAGACCAGAGAGAGACCAGAGAGAGACCAGAGAGAGAGACCAGAGAGAGAGACCAGAGAGAGAACCAGAGAGAGAGACCAGAGAGAGAGACCAGAGAGAGAGACCAGAGAGAGAGACCAGAGAGAGAGAGACAGAGAGAGAGACCAGAGAGAGAGACCAGAGAGAGAGACCAGAGAGAGACCAGAGAGAGAGACCAGAGAGAGAGAGACCAGAGAGAGAGACCAGAGAGAGAGACCAGAGAGAGAGACCAGAGAGAGAGACCAGAGAGAGAGACCAGAGAGAGACCAGAGAGAGACCAGAGAGAGAGACCAGAGAGAGACCAGAGAGAGACCAGAGAGAGACCAGAGAGAGACCAGAGAGAGACCAGAGAGAGACCAGAGAGAGAGACCAGAGAGAGAGAGAGAGAGAGACCAGAGAGAGAGACCAGAGAGAGAGACCAGAGAGAGAGACCAGAGAGAGAGAGACCAGAGAGAGAGACCAGAGAGAGAGACCAGAGAGAGAGACCAGAGAGAGACCAGAGAGAGACCAGAGAGAGACCAGAGAGACCAGAGAGAGACCAGAGAGAGACCAGAGAGAGAGACCAGAGAGAGACCAGAGAGAGACCAGAGAGAGACCAGAGAGAGAGACCAGAGAGAGACCAGAGAGAGACCAGAGAGAAAGACCAGAGAGAGACCAGAGAGAGACCAGAGAGAGACCAGAGAGAGAGACCAGAGAGAGAGAGACCAGAGAGAGAGACCAGAGAGAGAGACCAGAGAGAGAGACCAGAGAGAGACCAGAGAGAGACCAGAGAGAGACCAGAGAGAGAGACCAGAGAGAGACCAGAGAGAGAGACCAGAGAGAGAGACCAGAGAGAGAGACCAGAGAGAGAGAGACCAGAGAGAGAGACCAGAGAGAGACCAGAGAGAGACCAGAGAGAGACCAGAGAGAGACCAGAGAGAGACCAGAGAGAGACCAGAGAGAGACCAGAGAGAGACCAGAGAGAGACCAGAGAGAGAGACCAGAGAGACCAGAGAGAGAGACCAGAGAGAGAGACCAGAGAGAGACCAGAGAGAGAGACCAGAGAGAGACCAGAGAGAGACCAGAGAGAGGACCAGAGAGAGACCAGAGAGAGAGACAGAGAGAGACCAGAGAGAGACCAGAGAGAGACCAGAGAGAGACCAGAGAGAGACCAGAGAGAGACCAGAGAGAGACCAGAGAGAGAGACCAGAGAGAGAGACCAGAGAGACAGAGAGAGACCAGAGAGAGACCAGAGAGAGACCAGAGAGAGACCAGAGAGAGACCAGAGAGAGACCAGAGAGAGACCAGAGAGAGACCAGAGAGAGACCAGAGAGAGAGACCAGAGAGAGAGAGACCAGAGAGAGAGACCAGAGAGAGACGAGAGAGACCAGAGAGAGAGAGAGACCAGAGAGAGACCAGAGAGAGACCAGAGAGAGACCAGAGAGAGACCAGAGAGAGACCAGAGAGAGACCAGAGAGAGACCAGAGAGAGAGACCAGAGAGACCAGAGAGAGACCAGAGAGAGACCAGAGAGAGACCAGAGAGAGACCAGAGAGAGACCAGAGAGAGACCAGAGAGAGACCAGAGAGAGACCAGAGAGAGACCAGAGAGAGACCAGAGAGAGACCAGAGAGAAGACCAGAGAGAGACCAGAGAGAGACCAGAGAGAGACCAGAGAGAGACCAGAGAGAGACCAGAGAGAGACCAGAGAGAGACAGAGAGAGACCAGAGAGAGGCCAGAGAGAGACCAGAGCGAGACCAGAGAGAGATCACAGAGACCCCAGAGAGTCCCGCTGAGCCAAAAGAGAAAAAGTATCATATTACCACTCAATTATGTTTGTCTTCAGGGGCCAAAGCACACTGGGGATGGACCAAGAACGCTGCGGAGGAGTTTGGAGTGAGGCCCCAGAGAAACGGCAGGACATCAGGAGCGTACGTCTCTTGGGACTAAAGCCATTTTCAATCATCTAGAGACGGGACACGCTCCACTCGCTCTGCTTTCCATCACCCGGGACAGGGGCGTACAGAAACCCCCTCCTCAGCCGCAGAGGCCGCCCCGAGTTGCATCTCTTTCATCTTGGAACGAGGGCGAAAGAAGACTTCAAAAGACAGTTTGAAGTTTGCCTCAAAACAGAGCCTGTATATAGACAGACAACGCTAACTCGCAAGCTCAATGACTTATATTGAAAACTAAACTCCTCCAGCTTAGTAATTGTTTGCGTCACACTCACTATTTTGGGCTTAAGAAAACAGTGGTTATAGTTCTCTGTGATCCTGGTGTTTATATTGTAAAATTTCCTTTTTAAAGCCAGATAAAAGTCATATCGGCCAATCAGAAAGACTCTCAAAGACGGTTCACATTATTCATTCACTCCAAACACGCTGGTGATAAACCACTACTGTAGCCACAGTTGGCCTGGGGCGCAAAAGAGGCAACCAGTCCGTGCCGTTGGACCCTCCCACCACAACCAACCATTCACTTTACACACACCAGACTCATTCTAATGTGGGGGAAGTGTTTTGCCTAAGGACACAACGACAGCTTGGCACTTCACAGAGGCCCCACTGTGGCGACTGATGTTCCCCAGAGGTCTCCCATCACAGTACTAACCAGACCTTAACCTGCTCAGCTTCAGAGGTCCGACGGGATCTGACTTTCACATGCAAGTATGAGAAAAAGCGCTGACTTTAGCATCTGCCTGTTACGTTGCGATGCTAACGTAACAGGCAGATAATAAAAGTAGCTCCAGCTAGCTTATGTTCAAAATGGCTTCTCCCACATTAAGGCTAACAGTATAGGGTGATGTCACACTCGGTCCGTCTGCTGCTGGTACACGGGCGCTGGCATTAGCTCTGTTTTCTATCTCCGCTGCTGCCGTTTGAGCTCGGGACCTCTTTCATCTGCGTCCGAGGGCGAGAGGAGACTTCAAAAGGCAGTTTGAAGTGCCTCAAAACAAGATCAGAGCGAAGGGAAGAGAAGGCTCGTACTGTCGCAGACGCCGCGGACGGTGGGCCCTGGACGTCTGTGTGTGAGGGGGGAAGAAAGAGGGGGACGGACCACCGCGCCACTTTGATCCCAGCACCTCTGTCGCAAATCAGAGAGAGAGAGAGACGCCACCGGGAGTCCGCGCCGTGAC